ATAATCGCCCCTTAATCCCTTTCCTCATATGTTGAGGTTAGGACTTTATCAAATATTCTGTACTCTTTGCAAGATCTCTACAATTGTTGGTTTAATTAATACAAATTTTTTGGTTAATTCACCAAACAGTCAATGGAGAATCGGCTGCTGAGCTGCATAATTCAAAGAAAAATTCTACAAGTCTGCTATTTTTCTGACGATTATTTATTTCCTCAATGTTTTTCTCACTATGTGTGTCAGTTCACAGCAATTCACTGCTTGTAGAATCAAACCCCCAAATAGGCCATCTACAGTTTGACATAACTCGGAAACGTTACAGTTTGTATTAATTGTGTCTTTTTCTTTCTACACATCTTGCGGCATGTCGCAGATCTTTTAGTGACGTTTCTGGAATATCGTTTTTGTGTTTCTTGAATGATGTAAGAACTGATACTTGTAAGTGTGAGAAATAATAAGGAAGTAGGTTTAAACGTCACGATTCCTCCCACTCCCCCTCTCCCACCTCTGACAGCCTCCAACGCAGAGCGTGGGATAATGGTGATGTCACAGAAGGGAGTGTGGTTTCTTAGAAACACGTGTTTTCAGTCGCTGATTGCAGCTGCACCGGGTAGGCTCCTGTATTAGCTAAACAAATGTTCTTTTCTCTTCCTTGCTGTAACGTGAAAGATTAAATGACTAATCTCTGACAGCTTTATTCACAGAAGCGTTCATTGCTGGAAATTCAAAGTCAATTCTAGGCAGTGTGCAAAGAGGAAAAGATTCACAGGCCCGCGATGCTTTCAGTTTGGCTGATTCGATCTCAGTTTTGATGTTTCTTGTCGGCATACATCGTTTCTTCATACGCTGTATGTATCATTCATGTGCTGCAGGAAGGAAATTGGTTTGTTAATTAACGCGGCCCTTTTGGATAAAAGTATGGCACGGCTGCAATGGGTGCTCACGTTGTCGCAGTGACCAGCAAAATTAAAGTGGCACTATTACATGTGGAGTTTTGTGTTATTTTCTATGAGGCCCCAGGTGACATGACTTATTTCATGCTTATCCTGCTTGCTTGTCCCATTTTATATAATTGGCCATTAAAAGAAAAAATCTACATTTCTCTGAATATGAATGGGTTTAGGAATGCCCACAGACGTCACACTGATTCAACTGAGACTTCCCATAGCGATGGAGCCTCTAAGGTCTAATGCTTCCTTTTGAGAAGCATTCTATTGGAGCGATCACATCAATAACCACACATGTTTGGTGTATTTTCACCAACTGCTGAACATGTGCTATATGTGGCTAAACAGGATGGGAGACTGTTGCCACTGATAGTCTTCAGGGGGTGACAGTGTGACAGTGGGCCTGTGACAGTGTGAGAGTGGGCCTGTGACAGTGTGAGAGTGGGGTTGTGACAGTGCGAGAGTGTCTTTCTTAGTGTGAGAGTGGGCCTGTGACAGCGTGAGAGTAGGTCTGTGACAGTGCGAGAGTAGGCCTGTGACAGTGTGAGAGTGGGTCTGTGACAGCGTGAGAGTAGGTCTGTGACAGCGTGAAAGTAGGTCTGTGACAGTGTGAGAGTAGGCCTGTGACAGTGTAAGAGTGGGCCTGTGACAGTGTGAGAGTGGGTCTGTGACAGTGTGATAATGTATCTTAGTGTGAGAGTGGGCCCGTGACAGTGTGAGAGTGGGCGCAGGCAAATGAAGAAGTGGGTCTGTGACAGTGAAGTGAGTTTTGGCGACAGTGTGAGAGTGGGCCTGTGACAGTGTAGAGAGTGGGCCTGTGACAGCATAAGAGTGGGAGCTGTGACAGTGTAGAAAGTGGGTCATGAAAGTGTGAGAAGTGGAGCCTGTGACAGTGTAGCAAGAGTGGGTCTGTGACAGTGTGAGAGTGGGCCTGTGACGGTAGAGTGGGTCTGTGACGAATTATGTGAAGTGGAGCCTGCGGCGTGTGAAGTGGGCACATGACAGTGTGAAATGAGGCCTGTGACAGTGTAAGAGTGGAGTGCAACTGACGGTGTGAAAGTGGGCTGTGACAGTGTAGAAATGAGTCTGTGACAGTGGGTCACCAATGGCGAGGTGTGAGAGTGGGCCTGTGACAGTGTAAGAGTAGGTCTGTGACAGTGTGAAAGTGGGCCTGTGACAGTGTGAGAGTGGGACTGTGACAGGGTGAGAGTGGGTCTGTGACAGTGTGAGAGTGGGCCTGTTGCAGTGTGAGAGTGGGTCTGTGACAGTGGGTCTGTGACAGTGTGAGAGTGGGCCTGTGACAGTGTGACAGTAGGTCTGTGACAGTGTGAGAGTGGGTCTGTGACAGGGTGAGAGTGGGTCTGTGACAGGGTGAGAGTGGGCCTGTGACAGCATAAGAGTGGGGCTGTGACAGTGTGAAAGTGGGTCTGTGAAAGTGTGAGAGTGGGTCTGTGACAGTGTGAGAGTGGGTCTGTGACAGTGTGAGAGTGGGCCTGTGACAGTGTGAGAGTAGGTCTGTGACAGTGGGTCTGTGACAGTGTGAGAGTGGGCCTGTGACAGTGTGAGAGTAGGTCTGTGACAGTGTGAGAGTGGGTCTGTGACAGTGTGAGAGTGGGTCTGTGACACAGGAGTGAGGTAGGTCTGACAGGGTGAAAGTAGGTGCGACAGTGTGAGAGTAGGGGTCTGTGACAGTGTAGAGTGGGTTTGTGACAGTGTGAGAGTGGGTCTGTGACAGTGGGTCTGTGACAGTGTGAGAGTGGGTCTGTGACAGTGTGAGAGTGGGTCTGTGACAGGGTGAGAGTGGGTCTGTGACAGCGTGAGAGTAGGTCTGCGAGAGTGTGAGAGCAGGTCTGCGAGAGTGTGAGAGTGGGTCTGTGACAGTGAGAGAGTGGGTTTGTGACAGTGAGAGAGTGGGTTTGTGACAGTGAGAGAGTGGGTCTGTGACAGTGTGAGAGTGGGCCTGTGGCAGTGTGAGAGTGGGTCTGTGACAGTGGGCCTGTGACAGTGTGAAGTGGGCCTGTGACAGTGTAGCGAGTGGGTCTGTGACAGGAGTGAGAAGTGGAGTGCCTTGATAGTGTGAGAGTGGGTCTGCGACAGTGAGAGAGTGGGCCTGTGACAGTGAGAGAGTGGGCCTGTGACAGTGTGAGAGTGGGCCTGTTACAGCATAAGAGTGGGGCTGTGACAGTGTGAGAGTGAGCCTGTGTAAGAGTATGTCTGTGACAGTGTGAGAGTGGGCCTGTGACAGTGTAAGAGTGGGTCTGTGACAGTGTGAGAGTGGGTCTGTGACTGCTTGGCAGTGTGAGAGTGGGCCTGTGGCAGTGTGAGAGTGGAGTCTAGCGGCTGAGTGGAGTGCCTTGACAGTGTGAGAGTGGGCCTGTGACAGTGTGAGAGTAGGCCTGTGACAGTGTGAGAGTGGGTCTGTGACAGCGTGAGAGTGGGTCTGTGACAGTGTGAGAGTGGGTCTGTGACAGTGTGAGAGTGGGTCTGTGAC